CAGGGACGTCAACTCTCCCGGATTTGCCGGGAGACTCCCGGTTTCAGATCGAATCTCCCGGTCTCAAGATTTTAGCCCTAAATCTCCCGGATACGCACGATATTTTCATAGAATGATATTAATTACTAACCATCATTGTAGATTTTTATTTTCAAAGAAAACCTTCAATGAATTATGTCATGTTTCCTCGATCTTTCGATACGGAACGAAATACCTACAGGCGTTGCTTACGTATACTCGCGCATGAAAAATATATAAACTGATTATGCAACGTTATTTGTGACGTCATTCACATGGTGTGACGTCATACACATAATCGAGGCAATTTCTCCAGATATATAAAGCTCTGGGGTTGACATCCCTGTACTTGATCCAGATTTTGTGAACGTCGTCCCTCTGGTACCTCTAAAGCTTGACCCTATTCAAGACAGCGAAATCGTGAAATTCCATACCCTATTTAAATTGGCAAAATGTAGACATATCCGAGGCATAAACCAAGTGCTCCCATTAAAGATGMCAATGTTTTTTTTCCCWTTTGAATTTAAAGTCTACTAGACATGGAAAACATAGTACAACACTATTYAATCCTCATTCCTCATATGCAACCACATGACCAGGAATCCCCTAAGAAATAAAGAACAAAGCTATCGCCGCCATGTTGGATGAATGAACAAGAGAAATAAATGAGGAATGCTTTGTGATTTTCATCCAACATKGSSKGTGATGACGTAGCTTGCACAACAAGAATAGGCCAAAAACCATACCCTATCAAGCAGAATGCCCCTGTAAAGTAGATAAAGGGGAGAACCCCACCCCCACCCCCCACCCTCAAGGGTTTGTGTGTGGTCACCTAACCATAACAGCACGTTGCAGCCATTTCAACGTCCTTTTTTGTGTGTAACATCATCACTTTAGGACTGTATACATAGTACAGTCAACTCTTGCCTTACAAACACCCCGCTACAACTGACACCTCAATATTGCGGACAGTAAAATACTGAATCCCAGCGAAAGATACAAAGAAATGACTGAAAGTAACTCTTGTTACTACGGACCACTCGCTACTGCRGAGACTACATTATGGTCCCAAGGGTGTCCGTAATAGTGAKAGTTGACTGTACTGATTATTGTATTTTCAGGTGCTTGTAGATTAGAGYTATGTGCAAATCTAATGGAAGGTGGAACTACACCCTCAGCAGGTAAATCTGTTTATTATTATTTTTAACACAATTGTAAATTTTCTCGATTTCTGATTGGTTGAGAGCCATGACTAATGAAATTATAATTGCAATTTTTGCAAGATTGCAATTTTGGGAAATATGGTGGTAAATATAATGACATACCTCAAGAGACAACAATCATAAATTGTTACAATAAAACACAAAGAATAAAATGATGTGTACMGCTTAAGCTATTCATTTTGTGCTCAAATCAGGCCAACAAGCCTTTTGCATTTAACGGTCACATGGTACTAAATCCGCCATATACTGAATGGCAAAATAACCACTGTGATGCTCAAAACAAAGAAATGTTAAGCTTGATTAGCTGCGTTCCTGTTGTTTTTCAGTTTGTTTACGGTTTTTTTTTGTTTTTTTTTTGCCATCCACTATGGCGGATTTAGTACCATGTGACCTTTTCATGCAAAAGGTCAATTGGAGGTTGAGAATAAAAAAAGAAGGAAAATCCAAAGTGCCTTTATAATGCAATATGAGATTGAGATTTATTAATCTGAAGTCCATTTCTCTCCAATCATATGAAGGCTCCTCCTATTGGGCATTTAATTTAATCATGTGGGCAGTTCATGCATTCATTTTCTTGGTTTTTATTTATTTATTATCATATTAATGTATTCTACTTAATTATTATTTATCATATCTAATTTTTCTTTACTGGTTTCCCTGTGCTATATCTGATTGAATTAATTTGTTTTTTGACAAATAAAGAAATCAAAGAAATGGGTCATCTGGGATCTGAACCCGGGCCCGCTGGATTGGAATTCAAAGGCACTACCGATTGGGCCACGCGTGCTAATGTTACGGCTAGACTTGTGTTTTAAGTGACGGGCGCTCGCCCGTGCTTGTCTAGAATTCGAAGTTAAATCTATAAGATTTTAACGAAAAAATCTCCTTTCAATTATCGTTTACTTGAAATTCTATTTGTAAAGTAAATCTRATTTGATTCGTTGTATTGTTCAGTCACAAAGGAAGCATGAGGAAGACTCGCCGATCCGACATTAAATTCGTCTCGAAAATCATTTTACGTGTGTTTTATTTATCCACGTTCGTCTACAATTCAAAAAATATATTCGCTCGCTACCGTACTATTACATTGTAATATTTGATACATAGTTCATTGTGTGGTTAGACATCGATAATACTATTTTGAGCCGCTACGGAAACTGGCAAACAATGTTAAAGCAACGGTGCCGTATAGTTGGTCGGGGATTCAATTGAACCAACTTTCAGTTGCTTAATTCACTGTTACGGAGTAAGCATTCTTAAAAGAATTGCTGGAAAAAAATAATAAATAATGAAAATAATAATAATAAAGAAAAAAAAAAAAAGAAAAAAAAACATACTCTATCACTTGGGATTCGAACCGCGACCTCTTGATCATTAAGCCTGTGTTTTTTAAAAGTGGTTAAAACCACTAGGCCACGATGTCAAACTTGATTCAAATGTCACTAAGACTAGGATTTATTTCGCCGTCACTCGCCGTGCTTATCAACACAGCCGTTAAATAGGGTTGTAACGAAAAAATTTCATAAATCGTTTTCTTTAAATTGTAATTGTTAAAGTTATTATAATTTGATTCATCGTACATCCATCGTTCTGTATCAATCTCCGAGTTATGCTGCCATTGGCTGCTTGATTTATTATTCGAACTGATTTAATTTAACAATATTTGTTGTGCAATCTCGTAGTCGTTAAAAACTAGTCAGCCACGCCTTTTTTTTCAGGACTTCCGGTATTTATTTCTGACGAGCATCGGTACTTTTACCCCGAAGTAAGATGAGGCACTGAGAGAGCAGTGAGTTGTCTTGCTTAAAAAAACTTGATAGGTTGGACTAGGAATCAAAGTTATTTCTAGCAAACCGTAGTTTCGTGTGTCTTGTAGCCACCGAACCTCCGTCTCTCAGCATATCTCTGACATCTACATAGTACCAGCACTCAGCACTGTTCATAGGGTTACTAGCTGTATATTAGTATGAGGTCTCATTGACTAGTAACCTTTATACGAACACTACGCCAAGCCGACCTCAATGCTGGTGAGATGAGCTCTGGCCACACCACCGGGAACCCTGTGCCCTAATCTTAGTCGAAAAGTGGTATGGGTTCTTTAACGTCCCTCTGATGCTAATGAGAAGTGTAGAGAGACGGGACCTCCGGCTTTACGTCCTTTTCCGAAAAGACGAGGCTCTGAGAGAGTAAAGTGTCTTGCCCAAGAACACATGATCGCCCCGTCTGGGAATCGAACCCAGGCCTGTCGACCCGAAGTCCAATGCCCAAACCACTGGACCCCATCACGTCTCCCCCCAAATGATTGCATTTACTATTCATTAATTATTTCGAATTTATTTTAGGAATGCTGAAAGTGATCAAGGAAGCCGTTTCTATACCAGTGTTTGTCATGATTAGACCAAGAGGAGGTGATTTTCTTTATTCGCCCGTCGAGTTTAAAGTAATGAAGGAAGACTTGCTGATCCTCAAGAATCTTGGTGCTGATGGTGTTGTATTTGGAATGCTAACAAAGTAAGCGGTGTATGATCTTTTTCATCGGTACAAATCCTCAAACTAGTTTGGGAATGGGACACGATATCGTTGGTTGTTTTCTAATGATATTTTCATTGTCGACCTCTGGGATGACAGGGTTCGTGTTGATCCTAAGCATCCTTGAAAATCCTTGGAATTGAAAACTCGTTTTCAAGGTCGCTTAAAGTAGCACAAATAAGACTAAAACAAAATAAAATTTCCAGTAATACAGCACCGATCGAAAGCTGCTTTTTGACTTCTGCTAAAATACAGCAGCTCTTTTGCTAGGTTAGGTTTTGTTTTATTGTTTGGAAGACTTATCTATTGTTTGTCCATTGTTTTCTCAACCTATCATGAAACCCGTTCCTATCGGTGCTAACTTCTGGATACTTCTTGGGCAATCTGTATGTCAGTGTTTTTTCTTAAACGTTTCCATTGAAATGAGGACCCTTGAAAGTTCAATATTAAAAAGTACAGGAAATTAGTGATGAAGACGCGAACTCTAATGAAATAAACACGTCACAATGTGTTATATCTATCGTTTGCCATCACTCTGTTTACATTGTAATATGTGTGTTTATATATGCCACCCATAATCCCTTGTGCTACTAGTTTGCAGGTTTTTCGGCAAGTTTCTCCAAGAAAGCGTGTATCTCAAAAGATAGATAGATAAGTGTGGCCGACTTTCCAGATTTCCCAGACCAATAATATCTGAATTGCATCTGGATTACATAGTTAGTGAGGGACTTGGACAGACTGCTATGGAAGGCGCTTTAAGCAGTTAACATAGATGAGTAGGTTAGATTTGTTAGTGCGTTAGTCTGTCAGTGCCCTCAAGGTTATGCGGCCGAAGTACAGACACTGAGGATGGTCGTACCTGCGCCCTCAGTGGTTCTTTAACGTCCACTACAGCGCTAGGGTTAGAGTAGAGTAGACGGGACCTCTAATTTAACGTCGTTATCCGAGAGGACGTGAAGATCTGAAAATCAATTGGTAAAGCGAATAGCGCAAATTGCAAATTTTTGGGTAGCATCAATCATATTTCTGTCTCTTTTAGGGAAGGAGACATTGATGTCCAAAGATGCCAAGAGCTAATAGGTAAATTCCATTCAAAATCAATCATTCAAAATAATGAAAACTTGCCGATCCAGTTTGCCCTTTTGCGGTATTTAAACATTGTTTTCGTAAACTATCAACACATTGGTAATACATTTACCTGTTATCTCGGTGGCTATCCTTGAAATCCAATCAAAACCAACCAATTTCGAGAAACCGGTTTTGGGTGGCACGGGTGGTCTAGTGGTTAAGCTACTGGCCTCTCACCGCTGTGGTCCGGGTTCGATTCCCGGACAAGGACACGGACCATATGTGAGTTTGAGTTTGTTTGATGTTGTTCTCTCCCTTGCCACGAGGGTTTTTCTCCGGGTCCTCCGGTTTTCCTCCCTCAGCAAAAATCAACGTGTGAGGAGTGTTGTGTGCTAAAATACTTAATGTAGAGGTAGTGAGTGTGAGAGGAGGGCCACGAGTTTATCAGTCTTTGACTGTAATGTGCTACCCTCGTAAAATAAAGTTATTTATTTTATTTTATTTATGTTTTTTCCCTATGAATATTATTTTGCTTTTTTTCCGTTTTTAACAGAACTCGCCAATCCTCTACCGGTGACTTTTCATCGAGGTTCGTAAGTCGAAACTATATTTATCGATAAATTTTAT